GGTACGGAGATTTCCCTCTCGATGAAAAACCTCTGCACGTGCTTTTCGTGAAACATGCCTTCCAGCGGCCGGCTGTGCATCTTGGCCATCTGGTACAGCACCCACTTTTCCAACTTGTCCACCAAAGTGCGCTGTCGGGCGAGCTCCGATTGCGATACTTCCGGGACGGGGTAGAATGCATGACAAATTCTATTTGTCATGCATGGCGACGCCGGCGGGGACGACGGTGGTGGCGAATGAATGAGGTGATCCCCGCGGATCATGATCAATCTGTACCCTGTCGGCAAACAGGGTGCAGGTTTAGGCCGGTGCTTAAGGCGATCGGTGAAGACGTTCACCACCAGCAGACCGCTAGAGCCTACACATGAAAACTTCGCTCTTGTTTTCGCTTTTGCTTTTTCCTATGCAAATCTGTCATGCTTTTTTGCCCTCTGCACAGAACTGACGTCTCCTGCTTCTCGCTCTTGCCCTTATTCGCAAAAGCCTTCCGTTCCATTCCACAGGCCGAAGTTCATGAGCAAGGATTTTTGATTTAAAAGCCGTATCAGCTTCAGCAACAGATTAGCTATGTAGCATCTTTTGATTTTGTTGACATATCTACCCCGGTAGATCCTTTTCGCGGAGTGACTGGAGGGAGTTTCCCCCTTCGCTGTTTGTATATGGGCTGGCAGATCCCTAGAAGCTAATGCCTGGAGTTTTTGGTCTTCCGCCCCTTTGAGGGGGGTTGTTGGAAGGAGCCAATGCGGACGCTGTCCGCCGTTTGCGTGCTTGGATTGCGCTATGAAGGAATCTGGTTTTTTTTCCACGTTCTAATGAATGGTAGCTCACGTGCTCTGAGTGCACCGCAGTGCCATTCCGCCACTGAGGGCGCTTCCCAGCGGGGAAGGTGGTAGTTTAAGGATCGTTCTAATGTATGGTAGCTCATGTGCTTTGAGTGCACCGCAGTGCCATACCGCCAACGAGGGCGCTTCCCAGCGGGGAAGGGGGTTTGAGGATCGTTCTAATGTATGGTAGCTCTTGTGCTTTGAGTGCACCGCAGTGCCATGCCGCCAATGAGGGCGCTTCCCAGCGGGGAAGGTGTGTTTAGGATGGTTGCGCTCTATTGAATGGTGGACAGCGCGCTCTGTTTGCACCACATCGCCACTCCTCCAGCCGCTTCCCAGTGGGACAGGTGGAGTTAGGAAAGTTGCGCTCGGTAGTTGAGATCTAGCTAGCTTGCTTTGAGGGCACCACCGTACCGCTCCGCCATTCTCATTCTTTTGAGGGTGCATCCCAGCGGGGATGGGGGGATTTGTTTTGTTGTTCAGATGTTTTGGAAAGTGTGACAGCCAGGGGTGCCTCTGGCTGCCACATTGGGGGTTTTCCGCTATGGACCTATGGCGACGCCGGCGGGGACGACGGTGGTGGCGAGTGAAGTCAATGCGCCAAAGGACGATATTGGAAGAATTTCGTCTTACATTTGCCCGGGTTCCAGAGCTTGTGCCAGGGAGACATAGTGGCGCATGCAGGTACTATCAGTTTTGGTATGATTGAGATTGAGTTCGTGTTTTGCATCATTTTTT